AGAAGAAGAAGAAGAAGAAGAAGAAGAAGAAGAAGAAGAAGAAGAAGAAGAAGCTCCAACAAAACAGCAGCATCAACAACATCATCATCAACAACAACAACAACAACAACAACAACAACAACAATAATAATAAAGCAGCAGCAACAACAGTAACAACAGCAACAACAACCAAACAACTACACGCAACACCAAGAAGCAAGAACTCACTGGCAATTGGCAGCCGAAAAACCACAGGTTGAAGTAGACGGGTTGAAGAAGAGAGTCATTTCACAGCTACGGATCTCTGAGGACTCGCCAGGTAGGCACACGTAGTAGTCACTGCATGAGCTGAGGGACACACACACACAGAATGATATACATAAGTAATAATAAGTATGAAATATTAAATTGTGTGGCAATACGATTTCAAGGCTGTGATAACATACGTTTTTTCCCCATTGAACCCTTAATTTGTATCATGTATTGAATCAATTACAATATAATTTGTATTTGTTTGGATGCTGCGATCAGCTAAATCCCATAGTCTACTAACATTTGTTTGCATCCTATCTAATAAAACAGAACTTGCATTTGTTTATCGCCTGCATTTAGCGTATATCGCCGTGTCCACTGATATTTGTTTGTACTCAATCAAATAGAGCCGATTTTGTATTTTTTTATACCCAGCATTGCCATTTGTTTGCATTCAGTCACATACAAAAGAATTTGAGTTTGTTAATTGCCTGCTGTCAGAACAAATTTTCTAGTCCACTAGCATTTTGTTGGTATTCAATCAAATAAATAGAATTTGAGTTGTTCTTCACCAGCAATCAGCATAAGTCCCCTAGCCCGCTAACATTTGTTTGCATTCAATCAAATACAACTGAACTTGTACCTATTTACCAACTGCAATCAGCGTGTATCCCAGGGTTCACTTCATTCGTTTGTATTCATTCAAATAAAACAGAGTTCGTACTCATATTTGTTTACCACTTGCAATCAGAGTATTCCCCAGGGTTCACCATTGTTTGTTTAAATTCAATCAAATAAAACAGAACTTACATTAATTTGTTTACAACCTGCAGTCAGCATAATACATTCCTTCGTCCAGTAACTTTCTTTTGTTGCTTTCAATCAAATAAAACAGATCTCGTATTTGTTTATCACCTGCAATCAGCGCGTATATCCCAGGGTTTACCTACATGTGTTTGCATTCAGTCAAATACAATAGAATGTGTATTTGTTTATTACCTGCAATCAGCGTATGTCCCTGATTCCACGTTGTCACAACTGTTCACACAAAAAGGCTGGTCGCTCGTAACGCTGGCGGCGCTTGTGAGGCTTTCAAGGCTTGTGGCGCTCTGCTCGCTTTGTACGCTCTGATTGGAGGAAAGACGTTTGTTACATACGGAAAATAGATCTGATTTGTTAAGGGCGTAAACTTGTATAAATGATATGGGGTCTGTGCGCTCTGATTGGAGGAAAGCAATTTTGTGGCGTAAGAAAGACAATCTGATTGGTTAAGGGTGTAATAGTCTATATGAGTTAAATGGGGTATGTACTCTCTGATTGGAGGAAAGATATTAGTGCCATTAGTACAACAAATCTGACTGGCAAGGGGTATTTACATATACGGAAGAATAGGATTTAAGGGAAGACGTTTCCAATGTTTAAAAAAACAAAACAAAACGAAAAAAAAAAAAACCCAACAAACTCAAACTAGACACACCCCCAAATAAAACAAACCAAAACAAACCAAACCAAAATAAAACATCAAAAAGCAAAAAAAAAAAAAAAATAGGAAAAAAAGCCCTACCCAAAACCAAAGCAAAACAAAAGATGTTCTGAATAAAAGTGGGTACTTGTGACGTACGCAAACCGCACCAACAAGACAAACAAACCCACAAAGAGAAGTAAAACAATAACTGTTGGCTCACTGTCACACTGGTCTCACTGCTGGCACTGGTCTCACTGCTGGGGCTGGACTCGCTGGACTGGCTTGTGTCACTCTGGTCGCTCTGATTGGAGGAAAGGACATATGACGTAATTGACACAAAGGGTGAAAACTGGCGTCGGTGGCCCGGTGGTTAGGCTACCGGGCCCGAGATCGTGAGATTGGGGGTTCGGGAGTTCGACCCTTAGCTTGGTCCGTGGTTGTGTCCTTGGGAAATGGCACTTTACACGAAATTTCCACTTGGTTCGCGGTCCTTTCGTAGATCATATAAATGAACCTCAGAGGTTTCACCTCTTAAATAAGCTAATAATAGTGTTGATAGGGACGTTAAACCTATACCATTTCACCATTTTCAATGGGTGAAAGGAGTTAAATAGGAAAATTATGTGACGTAGTGAGAGGAAATGTCTCCGTAAAACCCCAAACATCACAAGAAGAGACGGGTAGAAGAATTAAAAAGTTAGAGACACTATTAGCTCTGGGTCCTGCCTGCATTTCATTGTAAAGCAGAGAATAAAAAATGGTTTGGCCAGATGTTACGAATGTCACCTAGCCAGCCAGCCTCCAGAGCCTATAACACCAAGTACTCAGGCTATAAAGGAAGAGGTGCACCACGCAAAAGATGGATTGAGGGAGTCAAGGAAACCCTAATAAATTATAACCTCCCACTAGAAAGAGCTGCACAGCTGGTCTACCGTAGAAAACTGCATCTCTCCTCGACGCTTAACTGCAGCAAAAGTTGATAAAAATAAAAGTAAAAGTAGTAAGTGAGATTTTAAGGGGAATATTTGGACGCACGGTAACTTATCATTTTAATGAAGGTAATTCTTGTAATGATGATGTAAATGTGGGGTATATATATGTGAATGTTTGAGCGACCGTGGCGTGTGTG